TCAAGTTGAATCGAATTTTAATAAATAAAAAAATATAATTTTTAATCGATTTGAAACGAATTTTAATTGGGCTAACAGTTCAAGTAGAGTTCAAATTGGCCCGACTTTTAATACGTAAAAGACTTTTAGACTCAAATTTAATACATAAAAAAATAAAATTTAATTAGTTCGAATCAAATTTTAATCGACTCAAATCCCAATATGTAGAAAAAAGAATTTTAGTAAACTTGAATTTTAATATGTAAAAAATAAATTTTAATCGGCTCGAACTTTAATCGAATTTTNCCATCTTTTATGATATTTGTTCTTATAACTCATAATTGATTAAATTTATACATGTATAGTTGAATTTCTATTTTTTGAATTTTATTACTGAAAGTTAGTTAAAGTTAATTAGTTAAAATAGATAACGTTATTGGAGTGAATTTGAAAAAATGGTTAGCTAATGTAGATAATATAATATTTAAATATATTTTGAATATTTTGTTGTGATAACATCGTTGTAACAAGTATTTTCTCCTCCAAAGAGGACTTGGGGGGCATTTTGTCAATTATTTAAGATACATTTTTTAATAAATATAATTGACTATAAAATTATAAACAAAAATATAATTTGTATTTTAATGGGAATGATAAAATTGGAACAAAATAACCCATTAATGGAGTTTAAGACTTCTTAGAAATAAATTATCAAAAGTATGACCCTAAGATAAATATGATAAGACTTAATGGTTCTTTTGAAGGAAAAATAGGACTTATTGGTGTTTTTTCCATTAAGAAATGAATTTCACACAACTTAGAGCAATGCTACATGGACTTAAAATGTTGAGTTGATTAATCACTATCATTGATTTAACTGTGGGCTTCAGTATTTATTGAAACTCACTACCTATTCAATAGTTGTGATTGATCAAGTCAATAAATCAAGTCAATTTTTTAAGTTCAAGCAACATTTTTTTATAAATTAATAACTATCTCTCCATGTAAGCTAATAAGTACTCACTCTCTTTCCATGTAATCCAATAATTATTTAAATAGAGTTCACCTTACTCCAGGGGTGGCCCAATAAATCTAGAGGCCCTAAGCGATAATATGAAAGTGGGCCTTATTAATATATAATAATTATTAAAATATATTCATTTAAAAGATATTTTTCCAGTTTTTTTAGATTCAAAAATATTGATTAAATTTTTATTGTAGTTTGTTTATCACTAATAACAAATTTATTGAGTGCTCCTTTTTGAGATTCAATAAATTCATCTTGTTTTCTCTTCTTTTTACATTTTTCACATCTAAAATCATATTTTTGAATAGACATACTAATTATATAACTTACAGTTACAACAATGAAAAATTATAGTAGAAAATTTATAAAAATTAAATTAAAAGTTAAAGAACAACACAATCTGGTACTGTGAGAGAGCAAAACAGTTGGCTTTATCACAAAACTCACAACATCAAAATTCAAGGGCAGAAATCAACTATCAAGATTCAAGCATTTAAGTTTTTGTACAAAAGAGACATTCTAAATAAACCATAATATCAAAAATATGAAATCAACATATTAAAATTCTAAGCACACTAAACTTCTAAAAATTTATATTAAATTTTTAATAAAAAATGAGAGAACAATTAAACAAACCAGTTTAATATAGTAGATTGAGCCTAAAAAATTCTGACCCTTGAATCTTGATCACTATCAATTAATTGATAGTTTGTTGAATTACAAGAGATTATAGAATAGAGAGCTTTTGTATTTTTTCTTTGTTCAGATTCAACCTTCACGGAAATAGGGAAAGAAAGAGAGAGAGAGAGAGAGAGAGAGAGAGAGAGAGAGAGAGTGACGTTAATTCTGTGAGTGAATCCTGTAATTTGTGCTAGAGAGGTAGAGTGATGTAGAGAGATTTGCTTAATTCCATCACAGACAAGAGAGAGAGAGACATTATCTGTCCTTGTTGTGGAAGTCTAATAGTCTACTACAGCCGGCAAATGTAGCAATTTTCTAGGTAAATTGTTGAAGTGTGTACCTATCAATAAAATTTGGGCCTTCTCAAACTAGCCTATTCAAAATATATATACCTATGACTAAAACTCTTAACAAGGGGTCTCAAAATTTTGTAAAAATTGGGAGCTCTAGGCGGTCAACTAAGTGGCCTAGGCCTTGGGCCGGCCCTGTCTTACTCATTTGATGTTTTATTATTGGTTAACGAAATCTTATAACAATGTTGACATTTTATTACTGTTACGATGAATATTTAATCTGGAGGAGACATCCTTAGTTGCATTCTCACTTTTCATTTTCCAACTTTCACCTTTGGGATCTGACTTTGGTACCACAAGTTTTTATTCAATACTATATTTTTGTAAATAACATGACATGTGTAATTATTATCTGTTTTGTTATTTTATTTTATTATAATAGCCGGCATCTCCCGTAAAATGCACGGAATTTATATCCCCCGCTATCACCTTACTGCCTTCCCTGTAATTTATCTTCCTGTAATCAATTAGCCAGAACTCTTGCCTTGGACATGCTAGTTTATGCTATGCAATCCTTTTTATGCTACCAAAACCCGTTTGCCCACACACTTGACAGTGAAAATCAACTCCGAGCCTATCCAAGAGAGGACTAAATGGCATGGATACCAAGCAAAACAAGCAACTTTGATTCCAAAACACCTCGACAAAGTCACAGAGATGACTCCTAAATCAAAGTGACAGGAAGAAACTATGGCAGACACATAGTAATGCTGTGGAAAATGGTTACAGATAGCATACAAACCAAAGGCCTCCTAGCAACAAGAATGCCAATCCCAAATATATTCTGCCCACTTTGCCATCAAAGCTTTGAAACAGATGTTCATCTAGTCTTCTCATGTCCACTCACTAGAAATGTGGATTTTACAGAGACTTCTGCCCTCAACCTGACAATGGAGGAATGAATGCACAACATCCTAAACCCTACACTGCTCTTTATCCAAAACACATTCAACACTGTTAGGAATGAATGGGATGCACTTATCTGATGGTAGAGAATGTGTCACATCAATCGGTGAGGAGAATTCGGGGTACAAATTTGGTTAAAGTAGCATCTCTTGAGTCTAGTATTGCGGAATAATTTCAAAGTCGATGTTGCGAAGAAATTGGAGAAAGTAGCATTACTCGAGTCAAGCAATGATTCCAAATTGCATCAATTTAGACGATTTGCTATTTAAGATGTTGGCCTCATACGCTCGACTAGCAGCTAGTAGCCTCCAAGGAGGAAGTTGTGACTACTTGAATCATGTTTTTGCTATATGGAACTTGCAGTAATGCTTGGATAAAATAATAACACTGCCACAATAAAAAGAAATCTCAACAACTATTAGCAGAAGTATCATTTATTAAAATGCGCTTGTAATTCTACAGCGTCTTGCTTCCTGGTGGCAAAATCAGAGCACTCAAGAACTACTCAAATATAAATCACGCCAAGGAGCAACTTTTCCTGAACATTTGGGTTTCCAAAATATTTGAACTTTCTTCTGCAATCATACAAAAAATGATAAACCTGGTCAATAAAAAAGTGCAGTAACAAATGCATAATCTCCATCTCACCAATTATCTCCTTATCCTACACTATTGTTCCTTTTCTATTTTTCACCTTTTAGCTTGCAGTCAAAACTACATGGTATAGAACCCCCTTTTATTATATTGTGGGGTCATCTTATAAACTTCATCCATCAAGGACACATTCTTTAAAAACTTTACCAAACAGAATCTGAGGTGGGCCACAAAAATCTTACTTGCCATTTGGCACATACATTGGCGCCAATTTCAATTAAACCTGCCAAATGTTGTTTTTGTCTCCTTTCTATAAGTTGGATTAGTTTGCCCTTCCCTACTCTGTTGCACTTCCTCACTGAAGAAGTTATTTGGAGTTCTCAATACATATCAGTTCTCTCTCTCTCTCTTTCTCCCTCTCTACATATAAATAAATAAATATGTATGTATATATATATATATACACACACACCCAACAAACAGAAACAAATATGACTGGAAAACNACCCTACACTGCTCTTTATCCAAAACACATTCAACACTGTTAGGAATGAATGGGATGCACTTATCTGATGGTAGAGAATGTGTCACATCAATCGGTGAGGAGAATTCGGGGTACAAATTTGGTTAAAGTAGCATCTCTTGAGTCTAGTATTGCGGAATAATTTCAAAGTCGATGTTGCGAAGAAATTGGAGAAAGTAGCATTACTCGAGTCAAGCAATGATTCCAAATTGCATCAATTTAGACGATTTGCTATTTAAGATGTTGGCCTCATACGCTCGACTAGCAGCTAGTAGCCTCCAAGGAGGAAGTTGTGACTACTTGAATCATGTTTTTGCTATATGGAACTTGCAGTAATGCTTGGATAAAATAATAACACTGCCACAATAAAAAGAAATCTCAACAACTATTAGCAGAAGTATCATTTATTAAAATGCGCTTGTAATTCTACAGCGTCTTGCTTCCTGGTGGCAAAATCAGAGCACTCAAGAACTACTCAAATATAAATCACGCCAAGGAGCAACTTTTCCTGAACATTTGGGTTTCCAAAATATTTGAACTTTCTTCTGCAATCATACAAAAAATGATAAACCTGGTCAATAAAAAAGTGCAGTAACAAATGCATAATCTCCATCTCACCAATTATCTCCTTATCCTACACTATTGTTCCTTTTCTATTTTTCACCTTTTAGCTTGCAGTCAAAACTATATGGTGTGTTTTGCAAACCAAACAGAATCTGAGGACACATTCTTTATGATATTGTGGGGTCATCTTATAAACTTCATCCATCAAGGACACATTCTTTAAAAACTTTACCAAACAGAAGCCACAAAAATCTTATTTGCCATTTGGCACATACAAGGCGCCAATTTCAATTAAACCTGCCAAATGTTGTTCTTGTCTCCTTTCCATAAGTTGGATTAGTTTGTCCTTCCCTACTCTGTTGCACTTCCTCACTGAAGAAGTTATGTGGAGTTCTCAATACATCTCAGTTCTCTCTCTCTATATATAAATAAATAAATATGTATGTATATATATATATATATATACACACACACCCAACAAACAGAAACAAATATGACTGGAAAACTGATGCAGCAGTGGCTCTGCTGGTGGCTTCTTGATTTGCCATGATTCATTGGCAGCAGCACTTACAAACCCTTTGACTGGGCAAACTCATAAAACCGGCAAATAGGTGTGTTTTGCAAACTGGTGTGGGATGGATTACTTTATCTGATTCGGCAACATGCGTGTAAACATCCGATAGGAAAGCAAATATCCTGTTATGTAATATAATTCAGTTGCACGAAAATGGCAATATCGTTTAGCTGATTTATTTTTATTTAGAAGAACATTATCAAAAACCAGCAGCAGTAAACTAGAATACATTTAGACAGTATCTGGTTCTAGTATCATCACCAAGTAGCACCAACTTTCCCAATACCCCAAACTGCTTTTTCTAATCTTTTAAAAGGCCCAAGCTCTAGTTTGAAACTTCAAGACCATAATTTACCTACCAATAATACTTCATATGAGTTAGAAGCAAAAAAATACAATCTTGCAAAGGCTTGAGGAACTGGAAGTCTTACCATTTCCTCAGCTCGTCATACAACAGGGTAGACATTTTTTCCTTGCTAAGTTCAGAGGCATCAGAATCCAAGACAGACAACTGTTTTGCAGCCACTAAAGTCTCTTCTTTGTTCGGAACAATTATAGCCCCAAGTCGTCTTTGATCCTACAAGTGATTGATGCCATCACCCCACAGAAGTATAAGTTAAATTTCAGCTTGGCAGTGGACGCATATTAGTGAGCACGCTTTAAGGAAACAAGGAGTTGGAAAAACCCAATTAAAAAGAATGGCTCAATTTTCACCTGGCCAATGGCAACAATATGTTGAATCAGACTACTTCTCATGGCAGCTTCTTCAAGCTGATGGTTCAACATTTTCACCTATTTTTCCCACATATGAAATCAGTTTAGTAGTTTTTGGACAAATAAACAAGGAGGATAAAGAACATCTTGATGGCTGCAATGAAAATTGTAAGTCAAAGGAATGTACCTCCCATTGAAGAAACACAAGAAAATTAGTAGATTAGCCAGACCGCAATAATTAACTCAAAAGAAACAAAACAGTGTTCTCTATAAACTGTCAATTGCCCAGATAAGAATATTGCTCCTCTCGAGTAAAATACCAGATTGCCAAAGAAACACCGGAAAAATTATCCTAAGCCTATAGCAAGAGAGATATGATTTCAGTGAAATTAATGACTACATAAATGGCAAGTAAGATGCTAGACAAAATGGATAATTTGTCACTGTTAGAGTGCTATTTTCCTATTGTTCTACTTCCCTATTATGTTACTGTCCTATTGTGTTGGTAACACATACCCTACACAATATTGTTTCATACTCTCTTTCTTCCTCTCTTCTTCTTCTATTTCTTTTCCTTGACCCTAACATACAATTAATCAAGTTTCAAGGGTCACCTACAATGAATCAATTTCAGAATAAAAAGACTTTTCAACCTTGCTAATGTACAACAATTGATGCATGTGCAGATAATTGCCATCTTATTGTTACGCATGGCTCAGTAATTGCTGTCTTTGCGGTTTTTCCTCTATTTGCTTTTTTTTTTTCCATGCAAATATGCAAAGAAGAGAACAAATAAAACAAGCTGAAAAAAAAGGAAAAGGCTATCACAGTTACTGCCAAGTGTCATTTGAAAGACAGACAACATTACAAAAGTTCAGCTTCTAGAATACCGTTCAAAAGAACTATAGTTAGGGGTGATAATTGAGTTGAACTCGAGCCTAAAAGTTCGACTACTAAATGGTGAGGTGCAATCCAACCAATATCACCAGTGTTTAGCCAACCGTCCTTATCTATGGATTGTTCTGTTGCCAGTGGATTCTAGTGCCACATTTAGAAAGAAATAATTATCATTACAAATCAAAGGCACGTTAAGGACTCAATCCTACACTTGTGATCATTTGTAAAACTACTAATAAAACAAAGATGAAAGTGATAATCCACAGCTAATCAAGAAAACATCCCAACCCAAACGATAAGAAAAAGAAAAAAAATAAAAAAACAAAAGATCATCTATGTGAGCTATTATGAGAGGCTAATTTCACAAGCACCAGACCATTAGACAAATAACATTCAAACGTGCCTCGAGAAAGTGAAAAAAAAGAGGTATACTAATAAGAAAGATTCCTATGCTATAAACATACACAAGAATACAGGCCAAATTAGCCATTTTCAGCAATGAAAAAATTTTGGAGCAAAGGTGACCCAGGACAAGGGCCAGAAGTGGGCAAATCTATCTCCCTCATTCGTCATCTGCAATAAAATTCGGCACTTCACCCCGACAGAGGTACTCATCACAGGGTGATGCTAATCCCCAGTCCTTCCGAAGCCGCAAAATGTCTTCTGTGAAAGTTGATCCGGATGATCCAATGAACACAGTAGACAAGGCACAGATGGTCTTATCCAGCATAGCTTCCACCTTCAAAATGAAAGTGAATACACTTTGAGTTGAGAGTGGCATCTTGTTGAAACTAGGGTAAAAATCAATGGACAAGAAGTTCTGCAAAGAATAGAAGTAAGACAACCCCATAATGTTTATGGTAGCTTGGGAGGTAAGACTTTTAAAATTTATTTGGTCATGGTCTCAAGTTCAACTTGCTAGAGAACTCTGATTTACCCAATGTGTATGGTTTCAAGATGTGTATGAGCATATCCCAATTTGCGGTGCAGTCATAAGCCCAAAGAACACATGGTTGGCATGATCATCCGTTATTGATAAAAAAAAACCAGGAAAACACCAATGGGTCTGAGTGAAAATGCAGCCTGAAATATTGCAACTTCATGGGCCTCAAGTTTTTACTAATCAGCCCCAATCCTTTACCGTAGTCCTACTAGTATATCACAGAGCCCTGGTACCCTGACTTCTCCCAAAAAGTGTTTGTAGGGTGGGGACGGGATTTTTGAAGGACCATATAACACTACATTAATATTGGTATCTGGCAATAATTCTTACTCTGAAGATTACAAAGTGCTCAAGATGTCACTCCACAAAATTCTCAAGTTAATTTTTTACATGCAAAATACTCTTAACACATTAACACCCACCCTGTTTGAAGTGGAAAAATGGTTTCCACTTTGGCAATTCTTGGCTTAAAGTTTTCACATGAGGAATCCACTAGCATGCTTATTGTTGAAGTTCTATGAGTATTTTGACCCAAAACAACATAATGCCAAAGGCCTTCATTCATTCACCAAAGATCATCCATCATAAGACCGACTTGTGTCACTGGGTGTTTTTGGGGTATTCAACCCATAAAATTAGTTTTCTTAGTTCTCTTCCCTAAACAACAAANCATTCATTCATTCATTCACCAAATATCATCCATCATAAGACCGACTTGTGTCACTGGGTGTTTTTGGGGTATTCAACCCATAAAATTAGTTTTCTTAGTTCTCTTCCCCAAACAACAAAGGGAAAAATTATTCTCCTACTTTCCATGCCATTAACTCCACACTCTTTCACAGAAACAAAAGGGAAGAAATCAGCTCCTGTTTTCCATGTCATTAACTCCACACCCTTTTTGAGTAGGCAAGGTTGAAGCATGACTATCATCATTTATCCTTCAGGCACCCACTATAGTACCACAAGCTATGAAGCACGGACACTATCAAAAAGGTGACGTATCCGTGTCGGACACCGATACTCTTCGGACGCTTNTATCCTTCAGGCACCCACTATAGTACCACAAGCTATGAAGCACGGACACTATCAAAAAGGTGACGTATCCGTGTCGGACACCGATACTCTTCGGACGCTTGTCCGATACTCTTTTACCTGTGTCCATAATTAAATGATAAATTTTAATTTCAGACATTTGTCCGACACTTTTTTGGTGATGCGTCTGACACTTCTTTAAATCGTGTCTACTACTAAACAACAAATATCTGTTGACATGTGATTAACAAACTTAAAAATTTGACTATTAAGTATCTTATACTATGAGAGAACATATAATTACCAAGAGTAGACATATTAAAGTGGTACTCAAAATATAATAATAAAAGTAAAATATGCAAAAAAAATTTGAAAAAGAGCAATTGAGATGAAAACAATCATTTAAATTATATATGTATACTACACGTCTACAAAAAAATTGATAATTATTTATTATGATGAAGTTAGTCTAAATATTCACACTATATGATTAGAGATAACATATAATTATCATAAAATACTGAATTTCTTATAAATAATATATTATTAACACTATATTTGTGATAAATTATATAATTTTATATATAAAACACAATTATATATAACGTGTTTGTGTCCTATGTTTTTGGAAAATGTCGTGTCTGCATGTCCGTATCGTATCGTATCCGTGTCCGTACTTCTTAGACCACAAGTTTACTCAAATTGCACAAAATAAAATGCAAAAATTCCATCTCTTGAAAGAAGCAATGATCCAAAATAAAATTTTTGGTTTTATTTTAACAGCCTATGGATTGGTATAAGCTAATAAAATGAAAAACCTAAGATTCAATCCTTTTACATTAACACCAGCATATATGGTCATTGTAGGTGCAGTGGAAAGATTGTCT